TCTATATCCTCCAATGCATATAAAAAATCTACCATTACAGCATCATTTGAGGACACGGGGCAGATTACAATGCCTAGGATGTAGAGGTAGTACGCCTTAATAAATGGGTCTAAATTATCGCAAGGTTTAGATACCAAAGAGAAATTTTCATATAACCAGTCTAAACTTAAAAAAGTACTCACAAAGTTCTCATCACCATCTGAGTTATCCGATAGTCGAACTCGGTGTAACAAATCTCGACATTTCTGAAAAGAAATTGTTGGTTACTACCTATTCAAAGTCGGCGAAACCAACAAAATTGTTCAAAAATGCCGAGATTTGTTACACCGAGTTCAGCTACCTAATAACTCAGATGGTGATGAGAACTTAGTGAGTACTTTTTTAAGTTTAGATTAGTTATATGAAAATGTCGGAACCGTGTCATTTATTAGGGCATACTATCTCTACATCCTAGGCATTGTAATATGTCCCGTGTCCTCAAAAGATGTTGTAATGACAGATTTTTTATATGCGTTAGAGGATATAGAAAAAGTAAATGATTTTGTGTGGGGGTCATCAGTTTGGACCCTCTCTATTTGGTTTGCAAAAGGAGGGAGGCACTAATCTTAGTCATTTGCTGGTCAAGGTAAGAAATTGTTTTTTATGCTTTATATGTCTCATTTTTGTTTCAATGTTTTAACTTTTTTATTGGCTTTTCTTTACCGTTCTTTGTTCTAGAGAATCTACCAGATATGAAAATTTATTTTTATTGTGGTCCAATCACGCTTACAAACTGGAACTATCATTCAAAAGATCTTTTTCCTAATTATATAGGAGAGACTCTTTTTGTATAAATGTATTAAGGTAAAATAATAAAAGCAGCCTTCTCAAGTAATAGACCACACACATACTCATACACATACACCAGTAGATCCAATTCCAATACTCATCCACATAGACCAGTATATCCATATTTCATCACATTTTGATGCAAATAGCATTTTAGTCCCTAAATTATTATTTTAATTCAGGTTTTAATCCTTCTATTATTCAAATTAACACATTTCACCTTCACTAGAACCAAAAGTGCAATTGTGGTCCAACTGAATATACAAATTGGAACTATCATTCAGAAGATAAGCTAGATCGCTCTTCTCAAATAAGCCTTTGTCATATTAGATAGATGAATCCTATAGCAAGGGGGCTTCACTCGACAAAGCTAGATCATCCTTCGCAAAATAAGCCTTTGTCACATTTGGTAGATGCTCTAGAGCAAAGAGCTTTAAAGAAAAACCAACAAAAAAGTTAAAATATTGAAATAAAAAAGAGACGTACAAAGCATAAAAAATAATTTCTTACATAGGGTGCAAATGACTAAGATTACTGTCTCCATCCTTTTGCAATCTAAATAGAGAGTGGGCTCAAACTGCTGACCCCATGCAAAATCATTTATTTTTTTTATATACTCCAATGCATATAAGAAATCTGTCATTACATCAATCTTTTGAAGACACGGGGCAGACTATAATACTTAGGATGTAGAGGTAGTACGCCTTAATAAATATGTCTAAATTATCGCAAGGTTCAGGGACCAGAGAGATATTTTCATACAACCAGTCTAAACTTTAAAAAGTACTCACTAAATTCTCATCACCATCTGAGTAATCTTTTAGTTGAACTCAATGTAATAAATTTCAGCATTTCTAACAATTTTGTCAATTCTGCCGACTACTAGTTTAACCTTAATAGGTAGTCATGTTAGACTAGTAGTCAGCAAAAATTTCTATTAAGGGTAAACTAGTCGGCAAGATCGAAAAAATTGTTCAGAAATACTGAGATTTGTTACACCGAGTACCAGTACCGGTAACTCGAATGGTGATGATAACTTAGTGAATACTTTTTTAAGTTTAGACTTGTTGTATGAAAATTTCACTTTGGTCCCTGAATCTTGCGATAATTTAGACTTATTTATTAGGGTGTACTACTTCGACACCCTATGCACTGTAATCTGCCCCGTATCCTAAAAAGATGTTGTAATGGCAGTTTTTTTATATGCATTGGAGGATGTAGTAAAAGTAAATAATTTTGCGTGGGGGTTAACAGTTTTGGCCCACACTCTATTTGGTTTGCAAAAGGAGGGCGGCACTAATCTTAGTCATTTGTTGATCCAGGTAAGAAATTGTTTCTTATGCTTTTTATATCTCTTTTTTAAAGCTCTTTGCTCTAGAGCATCTACCAAATATGTCAAATTTTATTATAGCCCACTCACGCATACAAACTGGAACTATCATTATTCAAAAGATTTTTTTCTTTCTATATAGGATTCAAAGACCCTTTTTCTATAAAAGGGTAAGATAAAATAATAAAAGCAGCCTTCTCAAGTAATTGACCGCACACATACTCATCCATATACACCAGTAGATCCAATTCCAATACTCAACCACATAGACCAGTATATCCATATTTCATCACATTTTGATGCAAATAGCATTTTAGTGCCTCAATTATCATTTTAATTTGGGTTTTGATACCTTCTATTTTCAAATTAACAAGTTTAACCTTCAATTAAACCAAATGTGCAGTTGTGGTCCAATTGAATACAAACTAGAACTATCATTAGAAGATAAACTAGCAAAAGTACTTGTAACTTTCTAAATCATGGGTCACAACACATACTCATCCAGACACATCAGTAGATCCACACTCCATAACATTGATATAAATAGAATTTAGTCCCTATATTGCTGTTTTCTTCGAGTTCTGACAATGTATTATTAAAGTTCGCTCATTTAACCTCATAAAACTGATTTTCCCATTCAGAAGCATGGATCACACATATAGTCATCAACATACATCAATAGATCCACGTTCCATCACATTGTGATGCAAATAGAGTTTTACCCCCTGAATTATCATTTTATTCTGGTTTAGTCCCTACTGTTAATTTAAAACAAATGTGCCGCTACAGTCCAATCACACTTAAATGAAACAAAAGTAAATGTAAAGCCATGGATCACACACATACACTCACCCAGATACATCAATAGATCCACACTCCATTACCACAAATTCTTATACCAAACAAAGGAGAAGAAGATCGAACCTCCGGAAACAAAGAGAGGCTGAGATTTATGAAAATGGACGCCGCGAACGGGGCCATCGTGCTCATCAAATCGATCAATGAGAGTTCCCATACGGTAATCCCACAGCTGGATCACGCCGCTGTGTAGACTGGCTAAGATCCATGGCCTTTTGCTGTGAAAACTCAAACCTTTCACTCTATTACTCTTCGTCTCAAACTTTGTCAACATCTTATCTATGCACACACACTACAGAGAGTGAGTAAAAAAAATTTGATTGGAATCTGAAACCCTTAATGGATTGTGAGATCGATTTTGAATCAGATCTGAGATGGAATGTGCATTTTTTTAAAGATTGAAGGAAAGCGGTGAGTGGGGTGCGTAGGTTAAGCGCAAAGTGTGTGCGCAAAAATAGATCGAGCTTTGAGAGAGAGAGAGATAATGGGAATTAGAAAGAGAAGAGCTGCTGCTGCTGTTTTCTGGATCAACTTGATATGTAATTGGAGAGACGAACCCGACTTCATATTAAGACCCGTTTTTATTAATTCAAAGAAGATACTACAACCCTTTGCAGATTTTATTATCTTGACTTCCATGCTACCTAAGATAGGGTTGTGCGAATTACCATATCGAAATTGAATTTGGTATATATTTTTTTTTGATGATCGAGAAATTCATTTGGGGCCAATTCTTTGGACTAAACGTAATCTTCGAAACTAGATGGATAATGGACTCGTCCCTCTACCCTTCTCCACTTAAATACCAGGCTTTGCTTTGCATGGTGTGGGGGCTTGAACGTGTGACCTAAGACACAAATCCACCACCATTTGCCACTTGAGCTAGGCCCTAGTGGCAACGAATTTAGTATATAGTATTCATATTTTGATATTTGGTATGGTATTTGATTTAAATTTTTAAAATAATTTGGTATTAGGTATGATATTTGGTATTTAAAAAAATAGTACCGAAATATATACTAAATTACACGTTACAGATATTATTGATTAACATACTAAGTTACACAATACTTTTCTTTGGCATTCATGTTGAGGTTGGTAGTGAAGCTCATGTACTTTTTTAGGAAAATAGAGTAACAAGGTAGGATGCAGATTTTAATTCTTACTCTATAGGTTGTCAGGCAGTAACGTAATATTTCAACGATTTTGGGGTGTTTCTTACTCCGTTACTCTTGTATTATTGTTGCATATGTTGGATTAGTCCTTGTCGTATTCTCTAATTTCAACAACTAACTTTAAACAAGTAACATGATATTTTCAATGATTAAATGTATTCCTTTATGTACCTTTTTTCTCTTAGTTGATACTTGATGGTTTTGGACAAAACTTTTGTCAACACTTAGGTGAGTTTGTTTAGAACGTTTTCATTGAGTACTTTAATTAAGAATATTACAGTTTTTGGCTATATGGACTAGTTAATATTCAAGTCGAATAAACCGAAATTATCGAACCAAATAAACCGAAACCGGAAGGAGAAAAACTGAACCATAGCGAATGTAATTAGGTATGGTATTGGTATAGCATTTAAGAAATCGAATACCAAAAATACCGAATTGAAATGACTAAATATTATACCGTATCGTACCGACGGACGAACACTCCTAGCCTAAGGCCCTCCCTCTCTTTTTTTCCTTATTTTTTATTTTTTTCACCTTTTTTTGTCTTTTTCATTTTCTTTTATTTTTTCCATTTTATTATTATTTTTCACTTTATTTTTTCTTTCTAATTAAGCACATGTATGTTGTTCCTTATTTATAGCAACTAAAAAGATTATGAGTAAATCTATTATATTCCTACTATTAATAAGCGGGAATGAGACATGCATCCGGTTAAAAAAATGGTTAGAAAACAAGTCAGGAAGGTTTATTGTAATTTAATCAAAATAACTAATGTTGTAGTTCGACACGTGCTGTTCCAGGTTTGACACGTTGTTACCTAGCAAGATGTGAAATTATTCTCATCGGCTTCTTCTGTTTTGTTTGTGCAAAACTTTGATGATTTTTCATGTTCCTTCTCTTCTTTGCTCCGTCTTTCAGTTTGTCGTTGCACATATGTGCACTAGCTATTCCAAGTTTTTGCTATTTGGCTCATACACAGTAAAGGTATGAATACCACCATTATTTAGATTTAAGATTCAGATGGGTTTTAATCTGAACAATATTTTCTTCTCATGTTTTGAATACGGGTTTGCATTAGAAGTGTCTGTGAAATTGCCCGAAAGAAACTACGATTGACCTAATTTTTTTTTAATTTGCTGTTTCGAGAAATCTTGACTCACACCTTCAAATGTTTTAAACGTGTGTTTTACCTTTACAAAATCAGCTTTTCCTGTCAGTTCTTGCGATCAATTTGACAACCCTATTTCTTTAAAATTTAAACTTTTTGCTTTTTGGGTCTTTCTTTTTTGGTTGAAGTAGCTTTATGTCAAAACTAATTAATTGGTGCATGAATATTGATTGACGAGTGTCTGAAACCATGAAGACAAATAGCATATGAATATTTGATATTCCATTAATAGAGTATAATTTAGTTGATGATAAGTGATTAGTTGGCAATCGCATGGAATTGTTTACATGTTCCCCCCTGATCTTCAATGGGGTTGAGTTCGTTGTTTGCAAGAAAATTATGTGTTTGAAACATCTCTGATATATGTGTGTATGGACTATGGAACGAGAATGTGACTTGTTCATTCAAGGAAGAATTTTATGTAGTTAGCCATAATATGTTTTTGTTCATCATGTTTAATCTAAATTAGAAGGATAAACGAGCGAAAGAGAGACAGAGTTTGTGACTATAGGTATCTATATATTTCTGTGTGTGTAATTATACTTCCCAGACCCCACTTGTGGGATTACAGTGGGTTTGTTGTTGTTGTTGTTGTTGTTGTTGTTGTTGTTGTTGTTGTTGTTGTTGTTGTAATTACAAAATTGTTCCTTTACAACAAGGATTCCATAAGCATCTTCTACAATATTTGGATGCTTATGCAATACAAGACAAGAGTTGTACTATCTTCATTGGCAAGAGACAACATTCACAAGTGTGCTCCTTGATCTGATCAAGCACCTAAAGATATTGTCCAGGCCATCCTCAATGCATTCAGAATGAGCTTGCAGATTTTTCAATCTGTTCTGTGCAAACTGGATTGAAGATTTAGATTACTTTTGTCTAAAATATTAAGTTAAATGGTGATATTAGTAGAAGTGTTTGCAAAAGATATCCAGAGCAGTAACATCAAATTTTGATATCCTTTAAAATATTTCGAATATCGACATCATGCTAAAAAAGTGTTCAATATTGTGAAAAGTTCACATTAGAATGTGGTTCAAGGGATAAAACTTATTGCAAGTTTTAACTATTAAATGGAAGAAGTAGGATAAAAGAGAATTGGAGATGAGATTTGAATCCTTTTTAATAATTATGAAGCAATTCCCTAACTTTTTTTAAAATTTGTTGAATGAGGATTTTCAATATAGGCTGTGTTAAGCATACTTCTTTGACAGAAATATAAAGGAGAAGACTGGCCTTGTAAATTGCTAATTAGCTTAGAATGTTATTCCTGATACCCTTGTAGCTCTTCTCTAATGATGAAGAGTACCTAAATTTTTATTTACTATCATTTTTAGATGCAAATTATGAAATTTTCTAGGTATATGTTGAATGCTTTCGGAATATATATAACACAACAAGAAAGACTAAGAATTAAAACGGAGATGATGGTAATTTGGAAGTTCTAGATAGTAAAATCGATTCAAGAATTTTTGTCATACAATAAATTTTTACCGGTGAAAATAATATTTCCCTTCCACTTTCTGACTATTGTTTCCTTAAACTTCAGAAGACATCTATGGGATTATTTCTCTTTGCAAGATAATTACTTATGTCTAATTCTCACTACTTAACAGACACACAATCACTCTGTCTCTGATGTTAGTTCATTCGTTAATTTGTATTTGACCACTGCGCACCATTGGTTAAAGCAGCTTATTAGATAGACAACTCTTTTGAATTACATGGCTTGGTATACGTTGATATCTTCATTTACGCTCAGTTGTTGTTTGTACTATGATATCCTATTTTACAATGTAAAATAGCTCTGCTTTCACTGATTGTTACTTAATTGTTGCTTCCTCAGCATCTTTTTCTATTTGGCAAAGAAAATTTAATTGTAATGTTGCAGAAAAACGTGTAGGCCCCTAGAGTATTGACATTGTGAAAAAATACATTAATGAATAGTCGACAGTCAAAAAAAGGTCCTCGCTCGGTGTAGGAAGTTGATGATAAAAATGCCAAAGGAGGAGAGGCACTTGAAATATAATTGCTATTCTTTTCTAAGGCTTGGCGTACATAGAAATCACGATATTTAGACGCACTTACCCCAAAATAAAAATAGAGACATTCATATGGAGCTTTAGCTTTCCTATGACGTGGTGTCGATTAAACGAAAAATTTAATAGTTTACCTGTTATTCGACATCAATAGTTATTGCAAAGGAGAAATAGGTGAATTTTTCCAGTTGTTCTAGGTAAAATGATATTTTGTTTAGAGCTCAACTAACTAAATTCTTGTAGGGATTGAGTGTAGGATATTTATTACCAAGGACAAGAGCTGAAGGACTGTCCAACCCCAGTTGGGTATCAGTTTTTCCTGGAGTGTTATGTAGACATATTTTTTACATTATCATCGTATAATTAGAAAGCTTTATCTACTATTTGACATTATAGCACTGGAGGTGCTCACTATAGTAGCAAGATAGTTTTCTTCGCCAAAATTTTATTTAAAAGAGCAAGCCAGAGAAAAGAAGCGTTTAGATAATATCTTTTATCCTACTCTCATCTATTGAAAAAGGGAGCCCCTTGATCACCTGAAGAGATTTTTAGGCAGAATTGGCATAATTATTACTGTGAGGATTGAGCTGCCAAAAGAGATTATCCTCCTTTGGGCTAGAAGAGAAGATTTATGCAGTCCATAGAAAAATAAAAAGAATAAAGTATTCTGAAGCCAAATGCTCTTGGATGGGTAGTTTCTTGGATGGGTAGTTGAATAGGAAAAAAGGCGCAAAATATGGGTAGTACGTATTTCACCGTTGAGCTTCCTTTAAATGATTCCTACATGTATTTAAGGAAGTTTATATTGGGGGAATTATTTAGTTTACAAATATTCGTTGAAGCTTTAGATTAATTCAGTTTTATTTAAGCATTTAATCAAAATATGGGTAGTACGTATTTCGCTGTTGAGTTTTGGATTGAGGCACAATTTAATGATTTGATTGATTCCTGATATTGTGTATATTAACAATTTCACCTCTTAATCTCTAGGCAGGAGTAGCTGCAGTAGGAAGGACTGAATTAACGCAGATACATCGGAGTCGAGAAGTTAGTCAATCATATGTTACCTCCATTGGACGACATTTATTGCTTTGGCGCATGCGTTCTGGTTGATGATCAAGATTAGACTCAAAGTGGTAAAAAACAAACTTAGTTCATATTACTTTCTCGGAAACCCCCTCTCCCAACACAACTTTTTTGCATCTCCAGATTCTTTTTTCCTTTTAAGATCCTGCTTAACTTATTTATATATTTTTGATATCCCATATCTTGTGCAACGGCCCAGGAACATGTACTCCAATATGTCTAATTGCCTTCTTTTTTAAGGTTCGTATTTTAGGGAGTGATATTTCTGTTTTCCTTTTTCGATTTGCCTCAGTATGACTGAATTGCATGATAAAAAATGCTTGATCCAAATCCCAATAAGTTTGAGGTTACACATGGATCATATCTGTTACTATATTTCTGATTTGGGATATCAGCTCATCAGAGCTTGATTCAGAATGCATCTCACTTAGCTTTTAATTGTACAGAGGCGATAAAAGTGTGCATTAATCGTTGGACCATTTCTATATTTCTTTTGGGGCATTATGGTAGGTGCTATTAGGAACTCTATTTACCAATAGTCGAGCTTATTTTAAGAATCCTATCATATTCCTACACCATTGGCCCTTCCTTCAAATTAAAATTAATAATAAAAGAAAACTAAATAAGAACAAATAGATGAAAAAGGAGAGAAAAAAGTTAATAAACTTAGCGAGAAATAAGATTTGGTAAAGCTACTTGATTTTTTTATGTGGAAAGCATTTTAAGAATCACGACACTTTCTTTGAGTGGTTTGCTTCTTTACAAGCTACGCATGGTTGATCAGTTATTTGTCCAATGGCCACTCATTGTGTGGGTTCTCTTATGTAAATAGAGTCGTTTCCAAGGCACCACTCATAGTCAACCTCCTTTGTGCGATCGGAGGAACTTAATAGTATAATATTAGGCCCTACTTCTCTTAGATATTGCTGATATGCGCAAGATTTGCTGGGTGGTGTTGTATTTACCATAGGTATAATTGATATAGTGGTTTTGCCAATTAACATGGGTACACACACTATACCTGATGTAACCTTATGTTCTCATAGCCAAAGGAACCTATATTTATAATTATCATTCACTTTTAAACTTTTACATTTAATGTTGCAATGATTTGTGTCACCCTTTCTTTAAATGAAAATCACATTTGTTCAAGAACTTTTAGAAAAAACTTAAAACAGATCAAAAGCTCAAAGGTGAACTGCAATGGTCCATAGGTAAGGGAGATATCCTATTGACTGCCAAAATCGACTTAATATTGTAAATTCTTGGCCGCCTAACCGAATTATATTAGTGATGTAGAATGGGGTTGATGATAACTAATGTGTATATTTTTGTTTTGATACAAACTTCTTTGGTGGGTTGAGGGCACGAGTATATGATTTTGAGATGACGAAATGAGGTTCAGGAACTGGAATTGAAGCTATTGGGAACAAACTTCTGAACTCTTTCGACGGACCCCCGACTTTTGAGCAACCAAAAATGACTATTGAGAAGCTCCTTGAGTATGGTAACATGCTCAAGAACAAGAGAATGTGAAGAGAATTCAGTTGGCAGACATGCATCTTAAAGAGGAGCACTTAGAGATGCAAATGTTGATAGCATTAATACTGAAAACTTATAATGTCATCAATCTAAAGTCTAAATAAGAGGTTTTGATTTCCTATTTCAAAAGCTTTGATTAATAATAAGTTTGATGATTAGAAAAGAATTTTGAAAATTTTGCATTACTGTATGGATGCAGGGAAGAAAGGACAACAATCTAATTGTCCTGTTGCTGAAGTTTCTATTGAATCAAGTACTAAAAAACTTGATTCAACTTTCAAGAGTGATGATAAAACTTATATCTTCAGTTCTTTGAGATATTTTGCGAGGGTAGCTATAGAATGTGACTATAACTTTGTAATATATAAAATCAGTTGCATTCCATTCATATCCGAGTACAAACTCCAAATAATCTTTTGATTCAGTTACAATCGAAAGGATAACAGTGTATAATAAAANATATATTCAGCTCTTTTTATGGAATTTTTTCTTTTCCAAAAAGTTATGCACATAAGCACACATATTTTCTCCTTATTTATAGCAACATAAAGATTTTGAGAAAATATATTATATACTTTATATATATATATATATATATGGATGGTTGCACCTTACATATAGTTCATTGCAAACAAAATCTTTATCAAACTTACTCTAAGGCCGAAAAGGCTACACACGTTAATTATATCAGCGATATTGGGTACCAAAATGAGTTGGAATTTGAAGGTTTGAATTGTGAGATTATATCACGTTCCAGAACATGAAAAACCAAACAACATTTTCTCACCTGAATTACTTATTCAAGATGAAAAGGTTAATGTTCTTTTATGTACTATTATTCTTTTCGGTATTTCGGCTAAAATCTTCTTCTTTTTATTTGTACTAGGGATTTGGAGGTTCAAGTTGTATTGTATTTTCATCAAATAATGCGTGTGTGCAAGTGTTTTTGTGTTGGAAATAGAACTAAAAGAGCTTTACTGGGTTTTCACGTTTTTTCCTTTTAGTTCAAAACAAAAAAATAGTTTAAAAAAAATTTAACAAGAAGAGTTAACGGATAAATAAATAACATACATACTGATTGGGCATGGGAAGAGAAAGATATCAAGATGTATTAAAACCATCACACAAATAGAAAGGTTTGTGTGATGGAGTCAATCAATACATGTATGGTTTTACTAAATCATAGTGCTTAATTTTTTATGGACTACAAGCTGATGTAAAAAATAAGGAGAATGAATACGGCAATGATCTGTTGATGCTTAGGCTTCGAACTTGCTGTATATATATTTGTGAAGCAGTTTTTTATAGTGTAATAGATTTTGTGCTCCTTTAATCTTGTGTTCTTATATTATGGGGTTTTCCTTCAATTTATGTGTTTTCTATTCCGTATATTTCAAATGATAATTTTATTTATTTATTTATTGGGTGATAAAAGCTAATTTGTGATACACTTGACCATGCAGAGTTATTCCTGGTGTTGCTAAAAAAGCAGGACCTGAGTATATGATTTAAAGACCCGTATCAAGAGGAGTAGATCGTATAATGGAGCATCAATGTCACGACTCACATCTCCCACTTTAGGATGTCGTGATAATACATAATCTCTAAAACTAGGTAATCCTAACATACATTGAAAAACAATAGAAATAATAAAACCTCAATTTAACCATTAAACTATCACAATAAAACTCAACAGTACAATTGTCAACAACTTCTCAAAACCTGGCGGAACAGAGTCATAAGCTCTACAGGAATGTACTAATAGTCTCGGAATACAACACCGTTTCGAAACAAGAAATAAATAGTAGAATATCCAAAAACAGAAGGTGACTTAGAGGCTTGCGAATGTCGGGCAAGTATACCTTGAAGTCTCCAAAAGTAGCTAATCAATCACTAGCGTCCAGCACGGGCAGATGCATCTAGATCTGCACAAAAATGTGCAGAAGCGTAGTATGAGTACACCACAACGGTACTCAGTAAGTATCAAGCCTAACCTCGGTAGAGTAGTGACGAGGTCACGTCAAGACACTTACTAGGAGAAAAGAAACTACGCAGAGTATAACATAATCTAAATATGGGAAACGAGGAAGTAAATAATAAGTAAACAGTTCAATAATGTGAGCTAACAACGGAATTTAAGCAGTAAAGGAAACTAGGAGTAAACACATGATGAAACAACAAGAAGACAAATACGGATAATTACAAGTAAAACAATGAAGAAATAACAAAAACTGTTCAACCAACAAACCCTTTTCAACATGGAATGTATAACAAGAATCACAACCGAGGTACCGCCTCGTATTCACATTTCACGATTTTAATCACAATCTTTCCTTATATCACCGTGTGAGCCTTGCATTTAGTTTTAAAAATTATTTTTCCGAAATAGCTACACGCATTTTAGCCCACCTTATCTTACTACGTGGCTTCAAGTAATTCTCTTACTAGCAACATGCATATCAACCCCATATTATCTCACCGCATGCGTATCAACCCCTATCCTTATACCACCGCATGCGTATCAATTTTTTAACACAATAACAACTCGCACCACAAGTGCTCGTATACCGCAATTTGCCAAATCAATAATACCAATATTTCCACAACAATAAGCCCACGGCTAAATCGCAATATGTATAAGAATCTCAATAATGACAAAATGAATGAGAAATGCTCAACAAGGAAAGATATCTCAAAATCAACAACTTCAACCTCAATGTGATAATAGCTTTCACAACTTCAACGTCAATAATCCAACAAGAAGATAAATCCCACGAAATAATAACTACAAGTAAGAGTAATGCAACAATAAGGAAGTAACAAGACAATAAGTAAGGTAGCAATTTCAACTAAAGCATATGAGAGCAAATATAACAAGTAAGAGATAGAACAAGTGCTAACAATCAATAAAGCATGTCAGAGTAGATTAACACATGTAAGAGTAGATTAACAATGAAAGATATAACATGTTATGACAATTCAATTAAAGGCATGGAAAGAGTCTAAATAACCTAAACCGGTCAAAAACCACATATAGCCTGTGTACGCACTCGTCACCTCGTGTACACGTCTTTCACATAACACAAATAGCACGATCAACCCAAATCCTATGGGGTAGTTCCCCCACACAAAGTTAGACAAGATACTTATCTCAACTAGGCCAAATCAACCCTCAAAAATAGCTTTTCCACTAAAGTTCACCTACACACGGCTCAAATCTAATAAAAATGACTTAATATCATCAAATAATGCAAGGAAAATCAATTACAATAGATAAAGTTATGATATTTACACTTTTTCCAAAAAGTTAACAAAAGTCAACCCGGGATCCGCCTAGTCAAAATTCGGATCCAAGGGTAGATTCCGACTACTCATAACCCCACGAGTCTATATATGTGTTTTGTTTTCAAATCCGAGCCCAAATAGACTCTCAAAACTCAAATCTTCATTTTTCAAAACATTGACAAAAATTTCCAATTTTCCTCTTTGATTCTCATAAATTTGATGTTAAATCTAAGATATAATCATGAAATATTGTTGGAAATTGATTAGAATCACTTACCCAAAGTTTGTAGGTGAAAACTCCCTCTTCAAATCACCTCCTACCGAGTCTAGGATTCTAAAATGAGAGAAAATGAAAAATCCCGACTCCCAACCCCTTTGTTCAGTTGCAGATGCCGCATTTGCGATACTAGGTTTGCATTTGCGAAACCTCGCAAATGCGGAATAGGGATCGCAATTGCGAACCCTGACAAACTCTTCAGAAGTAGCAATTGCGACAAAGGCTTTGCAATTGCGAAGCTGACATCCCTCGCAAAAGCGATCAAGTGATCGCAAATGCAACCCTAGTCCAGGCCTACTGACTTCACAAATGTGAAGGGAAAAAGTCGCATTTGAGACATCTGACCATCCCTGCCCACTTCACAATTGTGAGGATGTTGCTCGTAATTGCGACATCAGAGCGCCAGCACACCAGCAATCCTATTTTAGTCCAAAACCATTTACGACACGTCTGAAACTCATCCGAGCCCCCGGGACTCCAAACCAAATATCCACACAAGTCCAAAAATATCATACGAACTCTTTCGCATGATTAAAACACAAAAATAATATCTAGAACTAATGAATCAGACATCAAAACACATGGATTTTAAAGAAAAGTTCAAGAACCTCTAGAATTGCGACCAAGCATCCGAATCATATCAAATCAACACCAATTGACACTAAATTTTGCAGATAAGTTCTAAATAGCATAACAGACCTATTCCAAGTCCCAAAACCAAATTCTGAACCCGATAGTCAAAAGTCAACCTACGATCAAACTTCTAAACCTCAAATTGACAATTTCGGCAAAATAACACAAATCAACCTACGGACCTCCGAATTCGATTCCGGGCATACGCCCAAGTCTAAAATCACAATACGAACCTATCAGAACCATCAAAACACCATTCCGAGGTTGTTTTTACAAAATTGGTCAACATAATCAACTTAGGCTTCTAAGCCAAGAATCAAAGGGTCCAAATCAACCCGAAATCTTTCCGGAACGAAACTAACCAATCCCGCAAGTCATAAAACTATGCACATGTGTGAAGAATCAAAAGGGAAAACAGGGTGCAAATACACAAAACGGTCGGTCTGGTCGTCACATTCTCCCCCTTTTAAAATAAAAGTTCATCCTCGAACGTGCATAGAGACATACCTGAAGTGATGAAAAGGTGAGGATAACGACTCCGTATGTCGTACTCGGTCTCCTAGGTCGCCTCCTAGACCGGATGACCCCTCCATTGAACCTTCACTGAAGCGATGTTCTTTGATCTCAACTTCCGGACCTATCTGTCCAACATAGCCACCGGCTCCTTAACATAAGTCAAATCCTTATCCAATTGGACTGAGCTGAAATGTAATACATGGGACGGGTCACCATAATACTTCCGGAGCATGGAAACATGGAACACCAGGTGAACTGCCGATAAGTTAGGTGACAATCCAAGCTTATAGGCCACCTCACAAACTCTCTCAAGGATCTCAAAAGGATCAATGTACCTAGGGATCAACTTGCCCTTCTTTCCGAACCTTATCACACCTTCATAGGTGAAACCTTGAGCAAAAACCTCTCTCCAACCATAAATGCTACATCACGGACCCTCCGATTAACATAACTCTTCTGCCTAGACTGGGCTGTACGAAACCGATCCTGAATCAACTTGACTTTCTCCAAGGCATCTCGAATCAAATCCGTGCCCAACGATCTAGCCTCACCCGGCTCAAACCAACCAATTGGAGAACTACACCATCTCCCATATAGGGCCTCATAAAGAGCCATCTGAATACTCGATTGGTAGTTGTTATTATAGGCAAACTCTGCGAGTGGCAAGAACTGATCCC